TCAAATTAATTTGAAATTTAATGCAGTGAGGCTGATAACTTCACACAAGTCAGGAGTTAGAATGAAAATGAGGAGAAAATCTACAAAGCAAGAAATTATAAGCAGTCAAAGAGTGGAGCTGTAAATACTGCAACTGAGAGATGGCAAACACATGGTGTGGGCAAACAGGGGCACTGAAAAAATCAGGGAAAGTGGATAAAGAGATGGGCAAATACTGCAGGATGTAAAAGGAAAAGCTGGAGGAGGAAGGGATGAAGATGGATTGGAAATAAATGGGTAGGGACAGTGGTTGTTAAGCTAATCAGATTTATTTCTCTGCACAGAAATTCTTATGTCCTTACAAGACAGCATTGAAGCAAGGTCTTTAATTTTACTTTTCCTGGGTTTATTGCTTGGGCCTCTGTGTTATTTAAGCAAGCACCAACCAGTTTCAGTGCACAGCTGGACCTAACTCAAACCCCTTAAATCTGGTGGAAGCTCTTTCCTCTTGTCAGAGGCATCCTGGAGGGGCTGCTGCTTCTCCAACAGAGCAGGGAAGTCTTGTGCTCTGGGAAAATGGGCACCACCAGGGGACTGCTGGACGGAGCAAGGAGACAGCATTGCCACATCCCTCTTCCCTCAGAAAAAACAATGGAAAAGCAGAAGCAAAACCAGGTGGACCCCATGATGCTGAGCTCTGTTGGACACCCCGGCACAACAGCAGGAATCAGAGCCCATCACTCTAGGAGCTTCTCTGAGGTTTCTCTGGAGAAGTAAGCACATGTTTTGTGCCTCTCTTGGCTTTACCAGAGTGGGGCAAGCTCTGAACGAGCCTCACAGTTGGTGATACAAATAATAGTAAATGGGGTATTCAGGATGCACATGATCATCCCTTAAGGGGTTTAATCTCTGGGAAACAGCTAAGACAATCCATGGAAAACTCTTGTGTGTGGCTACAGGATCACGCTTCAATTCTCACCAGTGATGGGTTTACTCCCAAGCCTTTACCAAGCCCTGTGACATTATTTTAGCACTCAGGGCCAAAAGGGAACATTGAGAGCCCAGCAGTGCTGGGCTTGTGGGCAGAGGCTGTGCTGGGACTGTCCTGTGCCCTTCTAGGACACATGGTAGATGTCAGCTTGGACCATCAGTGGGACATCCTTGTCCCTGGCCACCCCACAGGGTGGGCTTTGGAAGGTCTGGCCAAAATGCCATGAGTCTCTCACTGCAGCTGCACAAGTGGCTGTCCTCCCAGTTCCCCACTCTGGCCAGGCCAAAATCTCACCTTCTGAGCCTTCTGCCTTGTCCCCATGAAATACAAACTGCTTCCCTTTGCCTTGAAGGTCCTACAGCTTAACTTCTCTCCATCCTCACCTCCAACTCATCCCTAAGTACACAGGGAGCGTTTGGGATAAAGCTTCAAGAAGTCATTCAACATAAATTATTATTCCCCTTCTAAACAGATTACAAAAATCCTTTTATTACAAAATACTAAAATGTTCAAATTATTGGTGTGGAAAAACGTTTCCTGTAGGTAAAATTTTCAAAAATGGAGGTTTTAATCGCACACATAATCCTTTCTGGCTAACATTTCCACTCTTGTGAAACATGGAGATACAGATTGCACAGAGGCCTGGCTGTGCCACGAACAAAGGGAGATGCTGCCTGTAAATAGCTCAGAGAACATCAGAAGACACTTCTCTCATCAGCAAGCTTTTTTAGCTTAATATAGCTCCTCTTTGCATAAAACATTGACATTTTTGTAATGTTTGGACCCAATGGTGCGAATGCTGATTGTCATGCGAAGATACTGGAGTGTACCTTCAAAATATGCAGGAACATTTTACAGACAGTAGTTTCACTTGCCTCCAAAATGCTGGATCTTAATATTTCATACTTATATATATTTAAATGTTAGTACCACAGGATAAATTCTAACATGCTTTTATGCTAATGCAATCACTGGAAATCCAGATAATGCTGTGTATTGGCATATACTGTTAGTGAATTATGGATACCTAAATGCACAACCCCACATGCCTAGCAATTATTTTTGTTAGTGCATTTAACTTTTATTTGCAATCAGAGCACTTGAGGATTGTTCAAATGAAGTTTACTTTTGCAAACTGCTGAATGGAAAAACATTTTGTTAAAGGCTTAAAAACAGTAAGAGTGTGATGAGGTTTTAGACTTGCAATAAGGGCACTGCTCAGAGAACTCCACCAGATGGAATGATGTTTGATTTGGTCACAGACTCAGCAATTAAAACCCAAATGCCTGAAGTGAAGGACATATAAGAGAAACATGAGATGAAACCTTGATTTCCTCCTTGTCAAGTGAAGATATCTGCCTCTCCTATGGCAGAGGCTCCCAGAAGCAGATGGATGCCAGGAGGTCAGACCCTGGCAGCTGGACCTGGGACCCTGTGCCCCGAGGTCCCAGTCATGCTGTGCTATGGCTGCTTTTCAAGTCTGCTTTAAGCCAAATAAATAGGAGCGATAATACCAGGAAGGGGAAATCCTGACCTGGCCCTGTTGTGCCTTCTCCTCCTGCTGCCTTTGCTGATCCAAGTCTTGGCCTGCTCCCTGGCCTGTTGGCTCAAGATGCTGATCCCCTGGAAAACCTTTTTGTTCCAATGGGCTTCCAGCACAGCCAGAGCTTTGAGCCAGGTCCTGGCAGGGCCATGTGCAGGCAGGACCTGGGGGCTGCAGCTGTTTGTTCCATCCCTTACCTGCTTGACTACCTGAGCAGAGTTAAGGACAGTGCAAATCTGGAGAAGATCTGGGTATTTCTGAGAGCTGAAAAGTTCTGGATGTGTCCCAGGCATGTCTGGAATCACTCTGTGTCCAGTGGTTTCCTCCTGTGTTAAACACTTGTCTACAGACAAGGCCAAACTCCCTCTTCCAGACTGAGCTGTGCCAGGAGTTACTGACCTCCTGTGCCAGGCTCTGGAGCTGCTCTCATCATGCCCAGATTTCCCTCTGGGAATGTTTGCCTGGCTTGAAACCACTGGCCTGAGCCAGCCTGGCTGAAGAGACCTGGGAGGTGGCCACAGACCCATTTGGTGAGCAGCAGACCATTGCCTCTTCCCAGGCTCAGCATCCAGCAGAGGATCTGACACCAGCCCCAGGCACACAAGCACAGAGCAGATCACGTCCCTGCAGCCCAGCGAGCTGTGACACCTCTGGGAATTTACTGGAAAGCCCTACCACCTCTCTAAGGCTCTCAGGAACAACCATGAGGGAAGGAAATAAAAAACAAGCCCTCAGAAAAACACAAAATGCTGTGTAAAGTACCTGAAATTCCCCCAACAGTTTAACTAGAGCATGGAGTAAGCTGAGAAAATGTATGAACAAACGAATTAAACAAGCGAGCACACAGCAGACAAGTTGGCATGTAGGTGTCTACTGAGAAAGCTTAAGCACAGCAAGGGGAGAAAAAGCAAACTCAAACCAAGGCATAATATCCCTCACATTTTGGAGCAGAGCTCTCAGACCATGTATCATCCAAACCACTCCAAATTACCATCTGCCAGAATGTCCTTCAAAGAAAAAAGGTCCACAAGTTTGCAAAGCAGCAGTTTAATGTTGTCAAATCAGATGAGAGGCTCTCTCCAAAGAAGATTTTTGCACTTGAGTAAGAAACACTACACAAAAGTGTGACTCTCGTGGCCACTGCTACACTGTCAGGTACCATGAGACAATGAATTTTTGGAGTCCTGGCCATGTCATGGCAGGTACATCTGGAAAGAAGCTCTTTAGCAGCCCCTGTCATTTCATAAGTTACCTGCAAATGTTTCCAGATCCTCTGCATGATCTTCTCTGTATGCAGAAAGAGTCTACATAAAGAACCTGAGCAAACCACTCTGGTATTGTTTCAGAGACAAAGATACACCAGAATATGAAGAGCAGGTTTTGTTTCTCATGTATCTTCCTGTCATCCCTAAATCAGGCTCTGTTTCAGACTAGAAGCTGGATCCTTCCCTGGTATAAATCTGGGTACCTGCTCCTGTCCACGAGGCCCATCACTACACACACGCTGAGGGCCAACTGCATTGCATATGAGATTGCCAAGTAAATGCAGGTCTGTGCATGCACCATGTGTTAGACTAGGCCATAAATAATTTATGATGCTGGAGAAGGTGACTGTATTTTTAGGTGTAGAAATATGCAGATAAAACAGTCCTGACCTTCAATTTTCACTCTGCACTTCTGATCCTGAATTTGAATCCATCCAATGCATTTCTAAAGCCTCTGCACCACTGAATGAGCAACACATCCCCTGCAAAGCCCCAAAACCCATAAATCAGAAAAGGGGCACCAGGAAAACCCATGGAGCCCACAGGATACCTCCTGCAGCCAGCACTACACAGGATGCCCCAGCATAAGGAAGAGCAGGCTCCTTCCCCTGAACCTCAAACATTCTGCAGGTCAGTCTCCTCTGGATTCTGGCTGCTGACCCTTATTCCTGACCCCACATCTAATCAACATGCCTTTGATGTCAGAGGCACGTGTTCATGGGGCCCAAATCTCTCTCTAAAGACCATGGGAGCTGCTCAAATCAGCCCCTTGCCATCCTGAGGCAGCCCAGGAGCAAGGATGAGGAAGGACAAAGGTGCTCACTGGGGTGCTTGTAACTGTACCCTCTGTTACATCTTCCCCCAGAGAGAGCTGTCAGTGGGACAGAAGGAGAATTATTCCTTCCTTGGACTTTGTAGAAACAGGGAGCCCAGGGAAACCAAGAAACAATCATAGATTTGACACCACATTACTTCTGGATGTGTCCAATGAGCAAGATAAGGACACACTGAGGAGAAGGGGAAACATGTTGCAAGGGCGAGGAAGGGGACAAGACAGTTTTGTGGTGTGTCACAACACAGCTTTTGGTCTCTGCTATCAGAAATAAACCAAGGGAGGTGGAGAGAGGCACAGAGCCCAGGTGAGGGCAGGTCTCACCTGGACAGGGCAGCTCCCAGGACAAAGGCAGTGTGTTCCTTCAGCGAGGCCTCGCTGCTGTTCAGCCCCTCGATCACCAGCCGGAGCCCACCCATGGACAGGAAATCCTTGGCATTGTCCACCTGGGAGAGAGCAGCTTCCATCAGCACAAAGCCCCAGCCCCTGGAGAACACCTCCCTTCACACCCACAGCATTCTGGCAGTTCTGGGAGTTCTCCATGAGTTCCATCTCCAACTTCCCATGGACAAGGAAGGAAAAAGCCAGTCAGCTTGGAGGGGTCATCCAGGAGCTTCCCCAGGGAGCAGCCCCACAATGACTTTTCTAAGCAAACAATAATGGATTAACTGCCAGTAGGGAAAAGTTTGCACATTAGTGGGAATTCATCAGCCTCTGGCTCTAAGTGGATCAGGGGCTAGCCAGGCACAGTCCCAGTGGGCATCTGCTCTTGGAGAGGAGATCAGAAAAGGCTCTGAGTGCTCACAGACAAAATTTAGAGAAACAGCACAAACTACTTCAAGTACAAAATTCAGTCCAAAGTCAAATCAATGCATTTTGGTATTCAATGATTTTTTTTTTTTTTCAGTTTAAAAGAGGATCTGATGAATGCTCAGAACTGCCTGCACAGAAAAATCAGTTTCTGCCTGCACAGAAAAATCAGGTTTAGAAATTCGACATATCTCTCTGAAAGACAGGGACACAACAGCAATCATTGGCTGATGGAAACAGAATATAAAAATGAGTTATCAGCAGGGCAAGCCGACCCCCTGATGAGGTGGAACAGGACCACAAGCCATGCAGGGCATGTGGGACCCTCTTCTAGTCAATGATTTCATGCTCAGTGTTATATGTATCTCAACCATGTGCCTTCATCAAAATTGGCCCTAAGTCAGATATTTCAGGTACCCAGGAGAAGAAGAAGCTTTGTGTCCTACAGGTCTGTCGTTACCAACCAAAGCAGGACCTGGGGAGCTCCAGCTCATCTCTGCTCCCCAGTGGGACAATACCCACCAAGCTGCTCTCTGCAGGTCTGCTGGGGCTGATTCAGGATTTGCAGCAGCTTTTGTATCCTTTCAGATGCTGTTCATTTAACTGTCCCTATAAACTAGGCCTGCCAGAGCTCTCACTTTTCTGCAGACCCATCTTTATCTACAAAGAAATCTATGCAGCAGCCCAGTTTCAGCTGCCAGTGGGTCCTTTTATTACTCAGCCTCTGTAAAAACTGGTTTAGTGCTGGAATCAGACATTGACTTCTGCATGAGAGGGAATATATGGACAGGCAGGAATTTGCATCCAGCAGCTGGAGTGGTAAAACCATCCCCTGCTGTAACCTCAGCAGCACCAGAGTCCTTTGTGCTGCCCCAGCGTCAGTGAGACACCACAACAGCAGAATGTAAAGTGTGCTGTTGTGCTGTAAAGCTTATTCTGAAGATGTGTTTATCTTTTTTAACCAGAGTCTGTTGTGAGAGCTCCAGTTCTAAAACTAACAAAATCCCCAAACTTAACAACTTGAAGGTATTAAGCTCTCTGGGGAGCAGTGGATGCTGCAAGGCAGCAGCTTCTACCTCACTTCAGTCCACTGAAATCAGCACAGAAGAAAAACCAAAGATCAAAAGAGCTCTTGAGTAAAGTACACGGGCAAAGCAGGTGAGGGGAGGGATGGGAGAAGAGCAAATATGACAGCAGTTATTCAGGGAGCAGGTTTGAATTGGAGGAGAAAGAAAATAGGGAGGGAAGGTGAGAGAGAAAATGTTAGAAAACAAGAGCGAGGGAAAGCAGCATGTCAACTGCACACGATGGAGAGGAAATTAGCAGAGAGAGATGGTGTAGCATGTCAGAGCAGAGGAGAGGGGAAGATAAGCAGAGTAAATAATTGAGAGAAAGAGCCTGCAATGCCTGAGAACGGGTCTTGGCTCCACACACTGCTGTGCAAGCACCGTGAATGCTGTTTATGAGTTATGCTCTGCCCTCTTCACATTGGCGTTTGGGTTTTATGCGTTACACATAACCCAGCAAGCCAAACCTTCCTACTCCATCTCCAAGACGGGCTCCCAAACATGCCAAGCTGAATCGTGGCTGAGGAGAAGCAAAGCAGAGCTGGCAACCAAAAGCTGAGCAAAGGCAGAGCCCTTGGGCTGACTCCTCAAAGGCAGGAGAGAGCATCTCCCCGGGCTGGGCACCAGCCATGGCTCCCACGGCACGCTCCGAGGCACGAGCTGCCCCGCACCCACTGCTCCAGGGTGACCACGGCACAGAGCAGGGAGCAGCCTTTGCTTGCACGCCCTCCAGGGCATGGCATTTTCCACTCCACAGGGCATCCCGTGTCCCGGAGACAGCAGCAGGATGGCCGGGAGCTGAACAGTTCTGAAAAGCCACGGCATGGCATGGTACTGCTCTGATGGAGGCTGGGGAAGGTGGGACTTGCAAAGTGGCCCTACACAAGTCCTTGGCCACCCACATCTGCAAGGATCCCCTGCTCCCACAGCAGGGCTGTGACTCACTGCAGAGAAGTCCTGGCAGTTCAGCCCTTCCAGAGTTATGCGGCACCAGTGTCCTTTGGCTGCTGCTCAGTAATTACATTAAGCCACTGCTGCTAAAGTCAGTCCCAAGCAGAGATAATGCTCTGGACGCATTCAACTGACTGGAAGAAGAAAGAGGAGGAAAAGCCATGCTGGCTTAGAGACAAGTCACATTTCTTATCAGCTTCCTGCCTGACGAGAAGGTGCTGCCCAGCCATCTGCCCCGACAGCGCGGGCACAGAGCAGCGCTGTGATCGGCGCACAAAGGAGCCCCTGTGCTCCTGCCAGCCTCCTGCCATTCCTCCTCTCTGACCCCTTTGATGCTGCATGTGTTTCCCTTTGATGCTCCAGTCCCTGCTCCTCTGCCATTCTGAAATTGTTTGCCCCATCCTGTGCTGCAGGGATTTTCTGCTGGAATAGTCCAGATCGCTATGCTGGAATTCAAGGCATGCCAGGGCATTTGGGGGTTGCTTTTTAGCACAATGGCCTGATGCTCTGGCACCCTTAATCAGGCAAGATTAGCCCTGAGTACAAATATGAAGCTCTTTGGGTGCCCATTGTTCACAGTTATTCTCTGAGTCACAGAGATGCCGTCAGTGACACAAAAGCAGGGAGAACAAACAGCAAGGAAGCCTCTGCATGCCCACAATGACAATTCAGAGTGGAAATTCAAGACAAAGAGCCCTGGAAATAACACTTGTATCAGCTGGCACATGGACTCTCTCTCTCACAGCAGCAACACTTCAGCTACCTGCCTCCAAATACCACATTTGGTTCAACAAGTGCTGTTCCAGTGAAAGGGCTTGCACTGGCACCTCCCAAGAGTTGTCCTATTCACCCTCTGAAATGACAAAGTGCCATTGGAAACTCTCCCAGTGCACTCCAGACTCTCCCCAGTCACTGGGGAGGGAGAAGCCAAGTCCCTTCCCACACGGCAGAGCAGAGGCTGGATGCCCAGACACCCTCCCAGGGGTGGCACCAAGGCAGGCACCAAGCCCAGGGCAGCAGAGCTCTGTGCCTGCAGATGCATCCAAGGGGAGGTAGGAATGTGTGAGCTGAAAGCAGAGCAAGAGAGATCAGAGAGAGGGGGGAAAAGTGTGAGCACAAACCCAAGGAAGCGAGATGCCAGGAAATATGTTCACCCTCACACAGAGCTAATTAGCACAGCGAGGCTCTGCTTGCCACTGCTTACTCACACCAAGACAAAATAGGGGGTTTGGGGTGACTGTCACCTTTCCTGGTACAAAGACGTTCTCTGTGAACTGATATAAAGGCACCTACCATCAACCACGGCAGCTTTCCATGGAAGCAGAGAGAAAATAATTATTTTCTGAGCAACCACCACTCTACTTACCCAAAAATGGCAGCTAAAACCCCATTTTGTAACATTAAAGAGATAAAAAAGGAAAAAGAGAGGACAAGAAAACCAGCCTGAGAACAGACAACAAATCAGGCAACCACCAGGATACTGCTGGCTCCTGGCACAAGCGATGATTAATTCCAACCTGGATATAAAATAAGCCTGCACTAGTCCTCTGCTGTCTGTTATTGTCCCAGGATTATGGTAATTAAGCAATTTGTATTACCTGATACTGATAAGAAAAATAAAGCCCCGTTTATGACACCGTATCCCCTGGATTTTACAAGGTAGTTACTGAGGCATTCTTGTTACCTGGTGAACATAATATTCGAGATCATAAAGCGCCGCGACTTTCTCATCCAGCGTGGAGGCAGAGCTGTTGAATTTGCTGATTAATTTAACCATAATTTCATAATCTGTTTCTATCTTCATGTTCAGCTTTTCAAACTCCTCCTTCAGCTGCTCTATGGGCCGGAACTTCTTCCTCACCTCTTCCTCTCGGGCCTTGGAAACAAAAGGAGGAAAAACCAGATGTGAGATAACAAGATAGGAGATGAAGAGAGACAAGACAGACACAGAAAGGAATGCCAGCCCCAAAATTCACAAAGGGAACCTGGCTGTCTGTGCCAATGGATTTATTGCTCTACATCAGAAGTGCAGGGGCAGGTTCCTTCTGAGAAGCCCAGGAACCCAGTTAGCTGTGATATACCCACAATATGAGTGAACAGTAGAGCTCTGTGCACCACTTCTACATCTCTACAGCATTTGTGCACTATTTCTACATCCCATTTCCATCCAATTCAACATCAAGCCCACAGGCAGCAGTACTGCTGTTCTCTGCTTGACTGCAAGTGGATCTTCTCAAAACCTGGCTGCAAAAAGCCCTGAGGCACCTCCCTGATCTTACAGCTGAACCTCTCTGGAACTGGACATGAGGCTGGAGAGCTCCAGAGGTCCCATCCAGCCCAAAGTGCCCAGTGACTCCAACGAGTTCTCAGACACAGACAAAGATGCTTTTGCCTTTCCAAGTGTTGAGCAAATTCCTGGAAGGGTCTATCTCCTAGGGAGAGGTGTGAGGACAGAAGCTGTCAGAAAGGGAGGCAGAAGGAGCAGTGATAAGCTGGGGGCAGCTGACGTGCTGTGCCATGGGACTTGGCCAGCACACAGCCTGTCCTGAGCTCATCTCCCTCGCAGTAACAGCACCCCAAGGGCTGCCCTGAACAGACATGCTGGAGCTGGGCTGCCCCAAGGACAGGAGAAAGGCAGAAAGCCCCTTTTGGAAGGCATTTGTCACAAATGCCAAGATGTCTTTGTATGCAGAGTGAGCCTCAGCTGGAGGGTTTGCACTGTCCTGCTCCCCATGAGGGATCAGAGAGGGCTGGAGGAAAAACAAGTGAGCAATGGAGGTGAAAGCTGTGTCAATGGAATGATAAATTACCAGAGGTACCACACCCAACCCATCCCTCCCCGAGCTGCCTCTGCCAGAGCACAGAGAGGCTCGGTGTAACTCCATTTCCTCTGACACTGAGCCTTCAGGGATGGATTTGCTCTCTGCAGGAGTGACTGCAAATGGAATACTTTAGGTCCATTAGATGTAGCTGCTTTTAGCCCAGTTGCTGGGACAAAAGCTATTCTAACAGGGGGTTTTAAAATATGGCTTATTTTCACCTAATAGAGTATCACTAATTTTTGCATTTCAATGATCCTCATTTCCAGCAGCCCTTTTCAGCAGCCCTGCAATCAATCAGCAATGCTGCTATGGAAATGATCTCCAGCAAATGAAATCATGCCGTGCTGCCACATAAGGGAAGAAAAAGCCTTTCTGTGACGCCAGAACTTTAGAGCCTTGACTCCTCTTTCAGTTTTTGTTTGAGTGAGCCAAGACCAAGGCATCAGGAGGAGCGAGGGTTAAAGAAATACTGCTGAGGGGGAGAAGGGAAAGAGGCTCTGATGTACCTGATGAGTCACACATCTTCCCACCTATTTACTTCGGGTTGTGGGTTGTTTTGTAACTAAATGGACAACTTGGAGCTTGTGTAAGGAAACGTCAGCCCCTGCTTCACCATGGCCACTTGGGTTTTGCTATCCAGAGCACAAGGTTGGAAAGCCAAAGCAAGGAGAGTAAAGGGAAATACCCTCTGTAAATACCGTCAGCTGCAATCCAGTTCCCTTTGGGGTCTGCAGACATTTTTGTGAATTGAGCTGCAGTGAAACAGATAAATTACATTGTTCAGAGCAGCTGTGGCTGCCCCTGGATCCCTGGAAATGTCGAAGGCCAGCTTGAATGGCGCTTGGAGAAACCTGAGATAGTGGAAGGTGTCCCTGCCCATGGCAGGGGTGGGACTGGATCAGCTTTAAGGTCCTATCCAACCCAAACCACTCACAGAATCTTCGAGTCGTACAGAAAAGTCAGGGAACAATATCACTAACAGGTTAATAAAGGTATTTCAGGTCCATATTCACCACAAAATTAGTTTGCACAGTGTTTTCCAAGCAATCATTTTAACCATTGTGTTTCAGCAGAGTGTAACAGGGTGTTTTCAGATCCCTGCAATGTGCATTGCTTTAGAAATGGGAAACTCACCTTCCTTTCTGCCTTCTCACTTTCCTTCATTTTAGCCAAGGCCTTTTTAAGCTCCTCAGATGTGAATGAATTTGCATCGAGATCAACCTTGCCCAGCCTTGCAGAAGAAACAAAACAAACAAGAACATGTAATGAGTGAAAAACGGCCTCAATTCTATTTTCACTGTGACATTCTAGCAATGGCTAAGGGCAGGAGGAAAGGAATGAAAAAAGCTACCATACTCAAGAAAAGATTAGTCTGAGTGCTGGATTCTGTGTCAGGCTCACAGACAGCTCCCCCTGGCAATATAGGGCTCTGCTGACCCAAATTTTCAGATCCCACCACAATAAAAACAGCTGATGAATTGATACCTCAGAATTTCGTGTTGCAATTGAGGAACCACCCCAGTGCCACTATATAACTGCAGAGGGCCTACAAGCTTCAACTTGCAGATTTCATCTTATGAGCATTGTACAGAGAGTCATAGGAGACCTCAGCAACTTTCCAATGAGGGAAGGGACTACAGAGAAGTGGGAGAGGACTCTTGGTCAGGAACTTTATGGACGGGACAATGAGGAATGGGATCAAACTGCAAGAGGTGGAAGAGATTTGATGATGGGAAGAAGTTCTTTACTCTCAGGGTGCTTGTCCCTGACACAGGGACCAGTGCAGAGAGGCTGTGGATGCCCCATCCCCAGCAACATCCAAGGCCAGGTGGGACAGGGGCCACATCCACCTGGCGGCTGGGAGCTTGCTCAGCTTGGAACCACATCATCTTGAGGGTCCCTTCCAAGCCAAACCATTCAAGGATTTGATCATTCTGCCATCCCCATCTCCCACTGCACAGCGCCCCTGAAACTTCAGTGACATCACAGCTCCCAGAGGGTTCCAGGTGGAACGTTCAGGACCTGGAAACGAGCACAGCAGACACTTCACCGGCTGCCAAGGGTCAGTTGCTGCTCACCCTGCACTCTGACCCTCAGCACAGACCTGCTGCTGCTGCCTGGGCTTTTCCTGCCGCCAGCTCTGGAGCGCCAATCTCAGCACAATGTGCTCACCTGTGCCAATGGAGGTACAGTGCCATGCCAGGCAGGGGGCACCCGGCTTGGGCAGGCTGCAGCCATGTGGGAATGGATGGTGTGGGACAGGAAGCCCACTGGGAGATTGTGCTGCCCCTTGCAGACTGACAGAGACATTGAGGAGGCAATGGATGTGGACCTGGGCCTGGATGACGAAGAGATGATGGAGGTGGCCTCCTCCTCTACTTCCATGTCCTCCCCTGTTGAGGACATGGAAGTAGAGGAGGAGGAGACCATCGAGGAGATGGAGGTGGATGAGGAGGACAACATCGAGGACACGGAAGTGGGCGAGAAGGATGAGGAGGAGCCCATGGTCCTTGGATGAAGATGCAGCCCCACAGGTAAGACAGGCAGATGCTTCCCACGCTCTGCCCACACACACACTGGGTCCCCTGACGCCAGGCTGGGGCTGGGCTGGATGGCCCCGCTCAGGGACACGGTGCCCGCAGGGGGCCTGGATTGTGCTGCCACAAGCACCAGCCCCGGCCTGCCCTGCGCTTCCCTGGGGCCACGCCAGCCCTGCCAGCCCCGACCCAGCCCCTGGGGCCCAGCAGCCAGCGCTGCTGGGCCCAGTGCTGCCAGCTGAGTCCAGCTCTGCTGCTTCCTTTCTTCCAGGGCTCATGCACATGATGGCACTGATGCCCACCTTTGTAAATACGTTTGAAGTTCAGAAGTTCCTTGTAAATATGTTTGCTACGTTGGAAGTTTTTTGTAAATACGTTTTGAAGATTGTTAGCCCATCGGATCCCATGTCAATATCTTCTGTACATTGTTGTTGTTGTTGTTATAACAATTGTTATAATGACATATGTTCTGTAAATCCTAGATTTGCCAATCTTCGATAAATAAATACTGTTTCTCTTTAAAACCTGACTTCTCCTGGCCATTCCTTTGGGCACAGGAAGCCTATGCACACTTGTGCGTTCCACTTGTTCCGCGTTCCCGGGGCTGGAGGTCCCTGGGGGTGCTGGCACGGCCACCCCGGGGCTGGGGGCCCTGTGCACAGGGGCTCCCACTGACACCACTCCTGCCACTGGGCACTGCTGCTCTTCCTGGCCTGGGGCACAGCGCTGTCCCCAAGAGCTCAGCTCTCACCACCTCTCACACAGGGGGCTCTCACAGCACTGGCCCCTGCAGCCATGCCACCAAAGCAGTCAGCAAACCTTCAGCCACCCTTCCTGCTGCAGCCACAGGCACTCCTGGGCCCAGAGCCGCCAGCAGGCCACAGCCATGCAAAATCCACCTGCATGCTCTCAAGGCCACCACAGCCTTGGCAACTGGGCCACCTGCATCTGGGCTGCTGCAGGGACTGATCTTTAAGCCTTGGCGCCTCCATAGGCCCTGGGCTCTGCTTCCCAGCCTGTTCTGCACTGCCCTGAGCCCGCATTGTTCCAGAGACAAAAGCCAAGCCAGGGCATCCTCACCCTGCCCGCATTCCTGCTGCTGCCAGCGGCCACTGGGCCCTGGGCCCCTCTCGGGTGACAGCTGCAGGGACAGGGCAGCCTGTGCTGGGCAGAGGGCACGGGGCTTTGGGCCCCGGGGCGGCTGCTGCTGCTGCTGCTGGGGGCCATGGCCCCAACAGGGCCCCGAGCTCAGCCCCTGCCCGGGCAGTTGCCCACAAAGCCCCACACTCCCCGAGCATCCCCATCACACCTGCCAGGGGGAAATCCCACGGGATTCAGGAAAGAAATTCCCCATAGTGACTAAACCAAGGTGTCCAAGGGGAAAGTCAGCACCAGCTGATGTTTACAGCACCTTGACAAAGGTGGCTGCAGGGCAGGTGAGATCTCCAGGGCCTCTGGCAGTGCCTGCTCTGCACGTGAGCCTGTGCGGCTGCTCCCAGTGGGACACAGCACCGGGATCAGGCCAGCCCTCAGCCCCTTACAGCTGATCCCAACCAGCAGGCTCAGAAAGCATTTCCAGACCACTTCCTGTAGATATTTCGAAAGATTGAATGTCATTCTAGGAAGCCACTTTGCACATTTAGTTTTGATGTCGCGGCATGAGAAGCCACGAAGGTGCCTCTGAATGTGCACTCAGGGCGCTTCCACTGCCATCCCAAAGGGATCACAAAGGACAGGCCTCCGCTTTTAGCACTGCTGAGCTCCTCACTAGCAATGATATCTCAGGAGGACGCAGGGTTGTGCAGACCCAGGGGCCTAGTACTGGAACTATAATACCTCACAACAAAAATGACAAATTAAAGTAAAGTGTGGCAGCCCTCTAAATGCAATGTTTTATCAGTTTTATCAGGGCTTGCTGAATGCCGCGCCAGCGCCCAGCAGCAGCATGAGGGATGAGGGCTGGCTCAGCGGGTGAAGCTCAGGGGATATTTTGAAACCTCTGCATCCAGAGCCACCAGAGCAATGAATGGGAAGACAGCCACCTGCAGTGCAGGATCCTTGGGTTATATTTTAGTCCTGTGGGTGGGCCACCCTTTACATCAGGGGCAGCTCTGGGTAGCAAATTATCCAGAGTTGTTAGGGACATATATGTTCCTACTAGGGAGGTTCTCCTTTCATGGGGGAAGACTTGTATTAAGGGAGGCTGGAAGTCATTTGTTCATTGGCTTTTAAAGGAGTTCCCAGATATTTCTGTTGATTCAATTTGTCATGTAGCATTTTGGGACTCAGTTCGGGAAAGATTCTTTCTTTTGAAAACTCAGAGAGGGATAAGAGTCGCAAAATTTTACCCAATTTTTCATATGATTTATGGAGTTTTCTCAAGGGTTCAATGCTCTAATACTCAAATCATTTTTTGAGTTCTGCCCCTGGCATTCCTGAACCCACTGATACCAAGATAAGGGTGAGAGACAGGAACTGCTGTAAAGCACAAACAAGCCACCTGCTGTCTGACATCTTCCCTCCTTCTCCACCCCCTGCCCAGGTAACACAGGCCTGGATTCTACCCTAACCCATTCTCCAGTATCTCTCCTCCCTGGATCCCCCTCAGATAGCTCACAAAATGGAGTCCCTCCTCTGGAGGGGGTTGTCAATGTCAAACTCCCTCCCACCCCCAGCTCTCTCATCGGGTCCAGCCCCTGTGTTGGGTCCCAGCTCTGTGTCAGGTACCACCCCTGCATTGGGATCCAGCGCTTCCTTGCCTACTCCCGCTGCCTTACCCCCTCCAACTCAGCCCCTTGTGGACCCCACACTGTCAGAGCCGGAAGTGTGAGGGGCGGTAACCGGAAGGCCGCCATCTTGGCTACCAAAGGCCCACAACACCGGGCCTGGCCAGTCACCCCAAGGCCCCGCTCCTCTGCCAAAGAACAAGTTCCCTCTTCTGGCGAGGAGAGGGAAGGTTCATCCCACCTTCAGCATGAGCCTGAGGATTCTTGGACAAGGATGTGGAAGCTGGTGGCAGAAGAGGGGGATTGGGAATTGGTGGCTAAAATACAAGCAGCACCGGTGCAGTACCAGTGTGGGGCTAACCCCTGATGAGAAGCTGTCACACACGGGAGATGAAAGACCTTTGTAAAGCAGTGAAAGACCATGGGAGGGGGTCACCGTATTTTAATAATTTGTTAAATGCCACCTTCACTGCACATGTTATGGTGCCTCACGATCTGCTCCATTTTATGCACATCCTACTTTCTCCCACTGAAATTATTCTGTGGGAAGGAATGGAGAAAAATCTAATAAAACAATTATTAGAAGACTAAACTAGGGAAGACAGGTGGGCACACCTACCACTAGTCCATCTAGCCCGTGAGGAAGATTTCACAAAACCTCATTCAATAGACCTTCCCAGAGCTCTGTTAGAAGAGATAAAAGTGCTGCAAAGACAGCTCTCAAGCAGACACCCAATGGAACAACACCTACTCTAGATTTCCCAGACATTCTGCAGGGACCTGGGCAATCCTTTCTAAAATTTATTGACCACCTTACACAAGCAATAGAGAAGCAAGGTGAACATCCAAAAGCCAGGAAGGAACTTCTTAATAAACTTGCTGAAACAAATGCTAACAACACCTTTAAAGACATTTTTCCTTCGCTACCAGTCAACACAAAGACTAGCATTGCA